TCTTGTTATTGGCGAATTGATATTGTTAAGTACATTGATATTGATAGGAGTTGTTAAAGAATCATTTAAGTTAGCTTAAGATGATCCCTTAGAGCACCTTGAACATAGACGTTAAGTGGAATGATCCCTTGTATTCGTCTATATTAATCTTGCAAATATATTGAACCTTTAGGGTATACGCATATGCTTCTTCCTACGGGTAACTTGATTACTCACCCTAGTGGTTTGGGTTGTTTTTCAGGTAAAGAGACTATATTCTTAGATGCTCATCATCCTTAGAGGCCTATAAGCTATTTGAAACATTTTTGAATATTGACATGTAAGTATTTAACATGCTTAACTTTGATGTCATATTTTGTTTACCATGGGTGTATGGTACTTTGGAAGCTTATGTAGCTTTCTTGACATGTAATGATACTTTAATATTTCCATTTGACATTATAAGTATGTATGTAAAGAGGCCAAGGGCCAAGCATGTTCACTTTTGTAGTTGTACTCTCTTGGTATCAAACTTTTGCTTCAAAATGTATTTGAACTAATTTTGGAGGTTTGACATATGAAAATCTTGTAATTGATATGTATGAGGCCATGGGCCATTGTTTTACATTCAAATATTCATATCAAAGTTGTTGACATGTTCACATACTCAAATCTCAATGAAAAATCAGTTTTACACATTCATTTTGAACCAAATTGTCATGGGATTCAAAGTATAGGTTGAACCTTAGCACCTTGGACTCATAACAGGTTTTCCAGTAACATTTCGAGGTGTTTCGGTCGACCGATGGCAAATGGAATCATTAACGCACAGTAATTCATCATTCCAGTAGCCAATTCTACTGTTCAAGGCCTATTTCGGTCGACCGAAACTTTATTTCGGTTTACCGAAACAACCAGCACTTAAATTCATGTTTTCAGCAAAATTTTTGGTCATTTTGGTCGACCTAAATAGCTTTCATACTCCAGCTTCTTCAGTTCCGTTTCAGCACTGCTATTCCGACTTTGAATGGCCATATCTCCTTCATTTCTTATCCAAATGGGGTGATTCTTGAGCCTAAATTTATGGATTTTGAGTCAGCTTTCCAATGGTACCAATTCCATTCTCAGATTCCAATCACAGTGGGAGTTATTCATGTTTTAGTAAAGCAGTGTCAGTTTTCACTTTAACAGGAAAAGGGCATTTTACGGGATTCTTGGCTAATGTTCTTAGAACCTCTTGGAATATTGTGAAATGATTAGATTAGATTGTATTCACCTTGTTTGACTTGTTTAGAGTCAATTTTCTCCTTTTAATTGTGAATTCATTTTGCCCTTTATTGACGAATTTTGCCCGTTTTAACTCTAGTTTCCTCTTTTGCTCACTTTAACTTCCGTGACCTCATGGAATGTCACATTGATGTCTTAGAGATGGTTTTTTATCTCAAGGGACTATGGTTTCATCTTTTGCTTCTGCATTTTGGATCCGTTATCGGGTCAACTTTTGGGTCATCACTGACGCACCGGGTTGAAAAACTTGGGCCGTCACACTATTATTTAGGATGATAAGGGTGAACTCATATATGATCATGGATTAATTCAAGACCAGTTTGTACACCATATCCAGAAGGCTTTTTCTAATGATAAACCTATGTCTATCCTACCAACCTCTGATTATATCAGAAGGACTCTTGGTGAAATGGAGGTAGATATGCTTGAGGCCAGTATCTCTAGGGAGGAAGTTAAACAAACTATTTTTTCCATGGGACCTAATAAGGCCCCTAGACCTGATGGTTTTACTATGAGGTTCTTCCAACAGTACTGGAAAATTATTGTGGCTGATTTTACTCTTTATTTTTCTTTTATAATCTAATAATGGGGAAAGGGATCAATAGTACATTTATTACACTATCCAGAAAATGAACGAGGCTGCCAAGGTTGGAGATTTCAAACCAATATCCTTATGCAATGTGTTCTATAATGTGAGAACTAAAATCCTAGCTAATAGGCTAGCAGGGGTTTTGAGCAATATTGTTGGTAAGGAGAAGGCTGCTTTCATTAAAAGAAGGAGAATTCAATATAATATCATCACTACTCATGAACTAATGAGGGGTTTTGGAGCTCAACATGCAAAACCTAATTTGGCATGGAAAATTGACTCGAGGAAAGCGTATGATTCTGTGTAATGGAGTTTTCTTTTCAATTTACTACAGCTTTATGGATTTGGTACTAAATGGATCCAATGGGTCAAGGAGTGTATCACTATAGTGTGGTTCTCTATTTTGATGAATGGTAGTCCTTGTGTGTTCTTTCAACCTGAGAATGGTTTGAGGGAAGGTAATCCATCATCACCTTTGCTCTTTACTTTGGTGACTGAGTATTTTTCTGGTATATTGGAGGCTGAAGTGAGTCGAGGGAGAATTGTGGTGTCTAATGCTGCCAAGAGAGCTGGTGTACTTGTTACTCATCAATTCTTTGCTTATGATCTCTTGTTTGTGGTGAGAGCAAATGTGGCTACTGTTTTATCTCTTAAAAGGATTATGGGTTATTTTGAGAATATCTCTGGTCTCTTTGTTAATAGGGAGAAATTAGAGATCTATTTGACTAAATCAGATAAGAAGAAAGCTTATATTATTAGGTCTTTAGGGTGTAAGGAAGGAAAACTCGCTTTCACTTACTCAGGCCTTCCTATTTCAGACAGAATGCTAAGGAGAGGTGATTGTTCTAAGCTAATGGACAAGGTTATTGCTTCTGCTACAAGATGGAATGGCATGCATATTTCAATGCCTGGTAAAGTGGAATTGTGTAGGGTTGTGATCACTTATTTGATTCATTATTGGACATCTGTCTACTTTCTAACTGCTGCTGTTATAAACATCATCGAGAGAAGAATGAGGAATTTCATATGCGATATGATGAGAATAGAATGAACCTTCGTAGGTTGAATTGGAAGAAGTTGGCTGTTCCTAAAGAAGAAGGAGGTATGGGCCTGAGAAGAATAGTGGATGTTGATTCAGGTTCAAAGTGTGCTCTTGCTTAGGATTTTTTATTATCAAAGGATAGGATATGGGTTGCTTGGTTTAAACATTGTAACCTGAGGAATGCATCCTTTTGGCAGGTGATCATAAGAGCCTTATATTCTTCAATCTGGAAGAGTATTGTGTCAGTAAAAGAAATTCTCAAAGCTAACTGCAGGTACACAATTGGTAATGGGAAAGAAATCAAGATGCTTCTTGATCCTTGGTGTGATGGAAAATTTATTTTAGAATTATTCAGTCACAGGTTGTTGCAACATCTCAATAGGGATAAACAAAGTTGTGTGGAGGATTTTATTGCAGTAGATCAGAGGGATGTCTCCAAATTTGACAACATTACTACTAAGCTACTCCAGTTTCTTCTTCACTAACAAATACATGGGGGAGATGACAAATTTTATTGGCATTCCACTCAATTTACCTTTAAATTTGCTTGGAATGTTTGCATGCTTAGAAAACATGAGGTTTCTTGGTTTGATCTTTGCTAGAATGGAGGAAGACCTAGGTGGTCTACTTATTCTGTGTTAGTTATGCAGAAGGCTGTTATCAACAATACCTATTTGCAACAAAGGGGGATTTCATTGGCTTCTCGATGCTGTTTTTGTTGAAAGAATGTGGAAGATATTGACCACATATTTAGCTGATGTGATTTTGCTTGGCAGGTGTAGATGAATTTGTCAACTATTTGCCACTAGAATATTCAAACTTATACTTCTATTTACGCAATGGCTTTGGATTTTTCCCAGAAATTCAATGTGAAGTCAACTAGGACCAAGCTCTACAGGATGCTATTCACTGCTACTTTATATTTCCTTTGGAAGGAAAGGAATGACAGATTGTATAATGATAAGTCTTCTTCTTTAAATGATTTGGCTAAATGTATTTTGCGGGAAATGATGGAAATTTTGGGGGTATGCCTCTAAGATGTGATTTCTTTCTTAAACTAGCTAGTTTCCAAGAGTTTGTCCTTGGTTTCTTTTGTTAGGTTGTGTTTGGTGTGGGGTATGCTAGGGGTTGTTGGAGTCCGAAGAGACTTACCCCTTTAGCCCATATTGAGAAGTTATGAAGCACAGCAGCAGGAAGGGCTACAGAACATATTTTCGGGCCATCTTTTCTCTTGTACCATATTGTTTATATTTATAAAATTTCCTTTATTTAGGGGGAAAAAAAAGAAAAAAAGAAAAAAAAAAAGAAGAAGATTAGTGTGGCAGAACGGCGAAGAACGACAAGAAAAAAGAAGATGCTAGGTTCAAGGTGGAAAGATCTTCAGTCAAGGTAGAGCTATGGAGGAGCTACTGAAGACGAATTTTGAGCCAATGTGGAGATTGTTGGGTTTGTGGCTCAAAATTGCATAAATTAGTTTCCCTTTTCATTTTGAAAAATTGAAATTTGTGAAAGAAATTATGTCTCATTATGTTTCTATTTTAAAGTTGAGATTGATTTGGTAACTCCTAATAGACAAGTGGTATAATTCTTGTCCAACAAGAAATTGGGTTTTGAAGATTCTATAAATAGAGATCGGTTTAGGTAGAGAGGTAGAGAGAGATAAAAGAGATAATTGTAGAGAGAGAAAAAGTGAGTATGTTAAGTTTGTGAGAAAAGAAAAAAAATGTGTAATCAAAATTTAAAGTATAGATAATTGTTCTTCACCAGTGAATGTAAGCAATTTGTTGAACCATATAAATTTTGTTTTACTTGTGTGTGTTTTTATCTATTCTATTTGTCGTGTCCAGCCGGTTTAATAAAAAATTAAAGTGGTTTCAAATAAGCCAAATGGGTGGGAGTTTTTTGATTTTTAAAAAAGAATATATATAAATATATATCAATTAATTTTTTTTTTTAATAAAACTAATAAACCGATCAGAAACTGTAGAATGTAATTATTGAAAACTCCCTGCCACGTGGTATTAGTCATGATATACATATATGTATGTATATATATATGTATGTATCTATATATACACCCACTACCCACCTATATGTATGTGTCTATATATAGCTCACAAGTCAATCTACTTCACTTTCGTTGTCTTATAGTTGAACTATTGGACGGCCTTCGGCATCTCAAGAACGATCAAAACCACCACCACAACCTCAGAGTTTCGACTCATTCATTCATTCATTACCACGCGATCTGAGTGAGAGAAGATGGCGTCAAGCTGTGGCTCGCACTCTGCTTCCAACGGCCACAACTCTCGCATCTCCGCCGCCGACTCCTCCGCCGCCGTGTCCGACGCTGGCTCCGGCGAGATCATGCTGTTCGGTGTACGAGTCAAGGTGGATCCGATGAGGAAGAGCGTGAGCATGAACGATCTGTCGCAGTACGAACAGCCTCAGGAGTCGTCCAACGCCGATGTCGCCGTCGCAGCCGGTTACGCCTCCGCGGACGACGCCGTTCACCACCACTCCTCCACGAATCGTGAGCGTAAGCGAGGTTAGATCTACGATCGCCTTCTCTATTCCCTAAATTAATCATTCGATTAAATAAATTAATTATTTAAAAAAATTTATTTGCTACTCTTTTGATCAATCTTAATATTATAGATCTAATTTTCGAAAATTGATAGGAATTATTTAAATTATTCTATTTTCTTTCAAAAATTAGTAATCATCTGTTTATTTTTCATGCCATATATAAATATAAAATCTCCATTATTAATCGGTTTCTATACAGTTGTTGATTGTTCTGTTTATGCATGATATGTTAACCGCAAATAAGGATTATTATTTGATCACCAAAAATTAATTTGCATTTTAAAAATATATTTTATTTTGTCAATATCGATGTTTCATTCTCTTCGGATTATTTTATTTTATTTTATTTATTCAGAATTATTGACTTGGTGTTGATTTTGGATACTTATTAGGAATTCCATGGACCGAGGAAGAACACAAGCTATTCCTTGTAGGATTGCAGAAAGTAGGTAAAGGAGACTGGAGAGGAATTTCAAGGAACTTTGTGAAGACTCGGACACCAACCCAAGTCGCAAGCCACGCTCAGAAATATTTCCTCCGGCGAAACAACCTCAACCGGCGTCGCCGTCGATCTAGCTTGTTTGACATCACTACAGACTCGGTAATTCAAACACCAAATTTCAATCAAAACAATTGGCAATTTCAGTCGTCACCTAATTTCTTCCTATTTATATGTTATATTATCTTGTTATTTGTAGGTAATTGCCCATTGACTGTCAATTTTGACCAATTTTTTTTGTAATACCCAAAATGTCCTTAGTGTTTTTTATTTTGTCTTAAGAAAATTTTAGGTATTTCAATCTTCAAATTAACAAAATATTCTTATTTGCTCAATTATGAAAATATAGGTTTTATATTTTATTTTTTAAATACGGGGAGTAGTTGCACATTCTATATATATATATATATATATATAATATATATATATATATATATATAGGAGGTTTTTTTTCACTTTACCCTTTTTGGAAAATGTGAAATTGTGTTAATTTTTATCTTAAAGAAAAAAAAAAAAATCAAAATACTAGCAACAAAAAAATGGATTTAAGAAAGAAGATACTTTTAAAATGCTAATTTAATGGCAATAATTTGAAAATGTTGACCAAATGATACCTTAGGGCTTGCTTGGTTTCTATTCTTCATACTCTTTTTAGAAATTGAACCAAACAAAGTTTTTGAAAGTTACAATATTTTTCAGAGTTTATTTTCTGAGTTTTTTATGTGATGATAATTGATAATTAGGTCAATACAATTCCAATGGAAGAAGAACAAGTCCTTCAAGATAACACATCTCAGTTGGTTCTGCCAACAGCCACCCCGTTGCCTCAGCTGGAAACTTCCAATATCAGTGTATTTTCAGTGACACCTTTTCCGGTGGCCGTCAATCCTGTTCCATCGGAAAACCTAACCTTAGGGCAAGTTGATCAAGTGAATAATAATGCATCAAAGAACCCTGTCTTGCCAATTCCATTTCTTCCAACTCCTGATGCAGCAATTGTTGGGGATCTTAACTTATATCAGAAATCAATGGTCGATTCTTTACCACTCTCTCTCTGCCTTTCTTTATCGTCTGATCAGAATCAGTCGTCGAGGCATTCGACAGTTAAGGTGTTTTCAAGCTTCCACAATGGAGATGGCATCATAACTGTTGTTCGAGGAAGAAAATTACACAAGATAAAAACACAAGAGTTGATAATCAGAAAAGTCTGATCTAAGAAAAGATAAGGCAATTAGGGCCAGAGTGGTTGATCTTTGTTATGTACAGACCAGAAAAATGTGATGTGTTGTTGTACTAGTAGTGTTATGCCATTTAACTTGTTAGATTCCTGTTTATTTTGTCTGCTTTTGTTAAAACAACTGAATAGAACTAGTACCCTCTTGTTTATTGCTGATATGGGTTGGGTTGCGTTGGTCTATGTATGTGGTTTTCATATGTTTATCTGGCAATATATCAAGGGAGGTCGTTGTATTCCTTTATGTGAAAAGATAATTGATTTTGTTGCTTTGACGTTTCTGTGTTTGAGATTCGGTTCTTATGGATGTGACTGCAATTGCGTCCTCATTAATGATTATGCTGCAGTTGTGTGTTTTGATTTGGGCGTCCATTGAAATTAGACTTGTCAAATGATCCGATTCGGGATGTTGATAGTAGTATCTGTAATTATCGGAATAGCTTACGAAATTGAATGTTTTAATTCATATTTTAATAAATTATTTAATTGAATTTGGATGAAAATCTGAATCATTGACCCTACTAGTAATAAGGTTAGGTTCTACCATACAAGTATAATAACCAAATGAATCTAATAATAGAGAATTAATATATATAAATTTTATGATTAATATATATAAATTTTATGATAAATTACAAATCCTCCATTTCATAGTAGATGTACATGTTTAGTATTAGAGGTTCTTAAGGAGAAATGTAATTCATGTACGGTTCTTTTTTAAAATTATGAACTTGTCTTTTTTTAGTTTAAATATGCATGTTACTATATTACCAAGTTGAATTTTTTTTAAAAAAGGGTAATAGTGGAAAGATAAAATTAATTTGCTTTTGACTTTTTGAATAGGGCAACTAATTTGAGACTTCTTAAAGGGAAAGATGAACCCTACATGTAAGAATGTATACTTCCTTGTTGACTCTGTAAAATATTAATATCAAAACTAGTTTGGAGTTTGTTATGTATTTGTTTTGATTTTTAATCCATCCAACCTTTCGATTCGATTCCATTAAAATTGTAATGTGACCATTCATCACATATATTAAAAATCAAAACAAATACATAACAAACTCCAAACTAGTTTTGATGTTTATATATATATATATATATATAATATCACCATAACTCATCAGTGCATGAACCGATACATCCTAAACCCGACTCGAAACCCGGGCCTAAATGAGGAAGCTAGAACCCACATGGCTAAGTTGAACATGAATGATGTGTCAAATATAGTCCATTTATGTCATAATAAACATTTATAAACATCCTACAAGGTTCTAGACCCTAGAGGAATGGTTTCGTCACAAATCGACATTTTCTATATAGGAATTTCATGACCACTCTTCACCAAAATAGGCATAAATCTTTATATGATTATAATTTGTGAGTGAGACTAGGACCATTGGAAATATGAATTTGATCCGGTCAATTTGAGCATAAGAATGACCTAATTTGGATTTAAAATGAGTAAGTTATGGCCGTTTGAAGTAAAGAGGTCAAAACTGGGAGGCAATCAAAGAGTGCAACTGGTTCCGCATGGCTAGAAGCCAAAAACGGAAGGAAAATGTCATTTTTCAAGGGTTTAAGCAATGTACACCACCTAAATCATACATGGGCATGTCCAAGGGATTAAAATGGTAGGTCTACTCAATTCAAGGTGTCTAAATCATGTCATGGACTTGTGAATCAAGATCTGTGTACAATCATACATGGGAATGTGCGAATTAAAATGAATACAACATGCTTTGAAATAGAAATGGCTTCGTGGCCTCATGCACATCAGTTATGCTCTGAATCATCAAATACATTACAAAATTCCACATTATTCAAGTATAGATTAAGTCACCTTAAAGGCCTCAAGTAGACTAAACATAAGTTACACCAACACATATCCATAAACACCAAATATCGTCAAATGCGTCATCCAAGCCAAACAATAGTAACATCCTCTATAGCATTGCCTTAATCTGAAAGGGGGAAATTAACATGAGGTGAGCGAATAATGCTCAATAAGAAATATGGAAGTTAAATAAACTACATTCCTTTGGGCCTCAGAAGAGTAGCCCATGTCATACAATGCAAAAGAACATGTTCCCTAACGTCTAGTTCAAGGGTAGTCCTAAAGGGATCTTTGACGGCTCAAATTTCAAAGAACTCGGTGCATCAGCGAGTAACTCGAAAATTGACGTGATAACGGATCCTAAATTTGGAAGCTAAGTCAAAAAGATCAAATGGTACCTTATGGCACCAATGACACACCAAGAAACATTAATTAGGCTAAACTAATTCATGATCGCCATAAGATGGCTTAAATAAGGTCAAAAATGTAAAATTGGGAGCGTACAAATGGTGTAACATGAAAGGGTAATTGACCAAACAAGGTCAACAAGGACAACATAATTTCGGTCGGCCAAAATTAACCCAAAAGATGGTCACATTTCGGTCGTCCGAAATAGAGAATCGGTCAAACGGTTGTGGCCAAAACAAGACCTTAGCTACTAGAAATGACTTTATACTGTTCAATTGAATCCCAAAAGCAACCGGTCGTCTAAAATGGAATTTCGGTTGACCGAAATAGCTCGAAAAATGGTGACAGCCATGCTGTGCACCAAAAAATGAAAAGGGCTCATACAAGCCTTAATCCCCATCTTATATGAAATTTTAAAAGTGTACAAGTGTATGAACATGCATATACTTGATAAATGTAATACCCCTAGTTTTAAAAGGGATATAATTGGAATTTTATTATTTATTTTGTTGTTTTCGTTATTTATTTTATTATTTTTAGGTGCTTACGTGGCTATATGTTTAGATAGTTTCCTGTTTTATGTGTAATTGAATTACGTGTTGTGTGAATTGATTTGTATTTAATGATCTGAATTATTGAATTATTTGTATTATTTGAATTAATTATATTATTTGTGTTATTTGAATTCTTTAAATTAATTGCTTTATTATCGTGTAACTGTTTAATTATAGGTGTTTTTAATTGTTCTGTTATAACTGTAAAATTATTTAGGGTTTAGGTTTCACGTTGTAGACGACTTGTAGTTGGACTTAGAATTAGGTTTTGGTTTTAATTGAAGCCTATAAATACTATATGATATGTCGACTTAGGGTTTTAGAATACAGAACCTCTATTCCCGTAGTGAAAAAGAAAATAGAGAGTTACAGAGAGAAATACAAAGAGAGATAAAGGGAGGAAGTTTAGGGTTTTGCCTTAGGCTAGGGTTGAACCAAGGAGGAGGAGGAGCAGGGGTTGGCTCGTGGGTAAAACCAAGAGCAGCAGAGGAGGTTTAACGGCAACAAAGGTCGCCGGAAAACCTAGGAAGAAGGCGGTTAAAGGTTTCAAACCGAAACCTTAAGAGGCAAGTTCTTTTCTTTCTCTCTTCCGTTGGCCTGTGTTATGTGCATCCTTAGATAGTCTGTAGGGTTTTAAGTGATCATTAATTAAATTTTACATGCTTGTTATATGCTAAATCAATTATCTGTAGGCGTTGAATTACACTGTTACAGTTCTTGCATCTCTGGTTTTCAGTTTGGTTTAAAAGCATGTTAAATCGGTAACGGTTTTAATCACTGTAATTGATTCAAACTATTGTGAACAAGTCATGGGATAATATTGGGTATAAATAGGACTCTTAGGTTCAGTATTAAAGATGAACAGAAGGTTGGGAATAGTCGGAGACGAAGCTGATAGGCGAAACGGAGCAAAACTGGACAGAGGAGGCTCTCAGAGAGGGAGAGCCGGCTCTGGGAAGCCAAGAGCAGGCTCCCACTCCTCAAGAGCAGGCTCTATGCTTCTAAGAGCAGGCTCCATGGTGAAAAGAGCCTGCTCTGTGGTTTTGAGAGCAGGCTCTCTTGGTTAGGCTCTATTTGGGTGCGTTTGGACACTGTTTGGGCACTGTTTGGGATTCTAAATGGTTTCAGGACTGGAATGAGAATTCTAAAAGTAATGTCAATGGATTTTAATCCCTCTAATTGTATAATTTGGTCCATAAGGAAAATGGAATAAACAGTGTAAAAATAAGCAACTTTGTACGCTGCTAACGGATAGGAAGGACTAAATTGCTAATTCTTGTTTTTCAAATTTAACGGATTACAGCATGGACTCTAAATATGATGTTATGCTATCTGAACATGATGTTATGCTATATAAACATGATGTTATGCTATATTAGAGCCACATTGAATAAATTAATGTCTTTGTGCTCATGGATTTAACCGTAGGAAAGTATACAACGGTGCAGACTGTTAACGGATGGAATGAGTTTAATTGCCTATTTTAATTTTAGTAATTTAACGGAATATATATATATATATATATATAATTATAATTATAAATCTTATTTTGGTTGCATGCTAGGGTCATTTAGTTATCAAGTTTAATCTGTGCATACCTTAGAGGTTATTGTTGAAATACTACGTTCTTTTCTGCAATACATGGATTTAAGCTTGAATTTTAATTGCTGTGATATTAAGCACTGCTCTGCAATTATTTGGATTATGGTTTGGACTTAAATTGCTGAACTAATACTTAGGTTTTGTCAATTTTATGGATGTTGGGCTGGAGATAATTGAAGAATTAATTATATATTTTCTGTCAATTACCTGGATGGATGCTGTATTTTAAATTGGCGAACAATTAAACTTGCTCTTGTTAATTACATGGTTACTATTATGGATATTTAGTTGATGGACTATTTCAAATCTGTATTTATCAACTATATGGATTATATGGACTTTATTTGATGTACTGCTTAAAATGTTGCATCATTTACGGATCATTTGTATGATATGCACCGGTATGGGACGGTGGCATATGGAGGGACGGATTAGATCACAACGCTAATTCCTACCCATTCATATATATGGAATGGATTAACTAAAACAGTTAAATCTTACATGGTTTCATGTCCTGTCAACTAAAACAGTTGAACGACATAATGGATGGTTGTTTATATTTCTGTAATAGGAAGGATAGGGATTTAATTAAAACATTTAAATCCTAATTATATGTCATGTCTGGATGACAAACAGTTGATTGACACAACATATTATTTGGAGGGAATTTATATACATATAATGTATGATAGTCTGTGTGGATAAATAAGCTGAACAACTAACTGGATTTCTTATTGATGGATAGGATCGGGCTTTAAATATATATTTATGGTACTGCGGTACGAGCTTGAGTCTCAAGATTGTCGGTTAAGGAGCGTATATGCAATAGGATGTGTAGCTGGCTATGGTGGTTGAGATATACCCTGTTAGGCTT